CAGTTTGCGTGGAGGTCCATAATCCTGTCCGAGGACGTGTGGCTTTGGACGTACAGAGAGCACCGGCCGGGGCAAGGAGTGGGCGCAGTGAGAGCCTACTTGTATTTGGGACCCGGTGCGGTCAAAGAGGCCGTGGTGGGCCTCGCGACGACAGGGACTAGTGATGCAGTTAGCAGGGCGTTACGCTACCTAGGGGARGAGGTAGCGGCTTTCCGAGCGGAGGACGCGAGCGACCCGTTGACCCTATTTCACGGACGCCCTCCTCTTGATATCACGGGCGAGCTCGTAATAGCACGGGACGGGTTTTTCCCGTACAGCGTTAGGAGCCTGCGGGCGATAGTTCCGACGTTCGTAGTAGAGAGCGTCTTTGGAGGTATAGGTGGAGTGGTCGAGAGATATCTGGCCTATCGGGATCTCAAGATCCTGGCGAGAAGGCCTGCCGACCTAGACTACATCTATTATTCGCTTGCGACCGGTGGGCCTCGTTGGGGAGACGAGAGGGTTCCGCTTATAGAGCTGATCCGCTCGATAGACGACGAGTGGCCCCAGCCTTTGTGCGTTTGGGATTGGCTAGACCGTGAGCTCCGAGCAGGCCCCGAGTACGTGACTTGCATCGGGCGGCTCTTCTCAGACGACTGGGGGAGCTGGTGGATTGAGGATGCCGGGCGACCTCTGATATACGGTCATCAGTTGATGGAATACTACCAGGCCATAGGACAGGCGCCATACCGCGTCGAGGACGAGTTTGACGACGAGGGTTGGGAGCGAGAGGACGACGAGGAGCTGTGGGAACCAGACTGGGTCGACCCAGAGAGTGAGGTTGACCAGGAGGAGATTGACGATATAGACGCCCATTTTCCCAGGATAGGAGTAGCGGTCCGGGCGTAGGAGGTAAAGGAGCGCACCAGGGCGACGGATGAGTGAGCCTGACTACTGAACCTATTCGACCATACTGGACCTGAGTGCGAGAGATGTCGGAAGGGTTAGCAACGTCGAGAGATGGGGTGTATCAGAGGGAGTAGAGTGATGCTGACCGAGAGTAGGAGAAGAAATGAGGAGTGATTCAGCGGCCTGGTTAGCTTATGTTTTCTCACGAGAGTCCGAATCGTATAGTGTGAGGAAGCTTGTGGGACCCAGAGAGACGGCGGTTGGATACGACATACCACTTCCTGTGGCGTTAGAAGAGGCAGGGCGTGTACCGATACGATACTTGGGAACGTGGCTCGCAGAGGGGCTCTTCCTATGGACAGTGATACTACGAGACGAACGACCCGAGAGGACTCATGAGCTAGAAAGGGTCGGACATCTAATAGCGGATAGAACACACAATTTAAAGATAGGGTTAACGCTCGCAGGGGCGAGCAGGAGTTGGTGGAGAAGCGAGTTGTTGGCCAGAGTGATCGTTAATCAGCAATTGGTGAGACTCTCTGGAGGGAGGACGAGTAGGAGCTGCTTGGTATACGGTCCACCACATCCGACCCTCTACCCGAGAAAGGATTGGCGATTCGGAGTTCCTACCTTCGTGATAGGGCAGACCTATGGGAGCGTGGATCGTTTAAGGAGAGCAGTCGATCACACACTTTACGCCCTCTGGGAGGGCTTAGCGCCCCGCTTCAAGGAAGTATACTACGCCATTTGTGTGAGGTGGGGGCCGCCCAGTAGAGAGACGCTAGACGACATCATAGATGTTACAAGCTGGGTGGACTGTCTGAGGCCTATCGATCTGATTAGGTACTGCAGGAGACGGGCAGAGATCAATTACGCGGGGCTAGAAGACGCGAGATTTTTCTTCGAGGTCGCAGCTTAGGGAATGCCGGGGAGGACGGCCACGGTGATGCGTGTAGAAGAGCGACTCGTAAGGACAGGATACACTGTGACAGTACTTCTCCGAGCGTACGTAGACGAGGACTTGACGGCGAGTGAGTGCAGACAACGAGCTAGGGATTTGATCCACGAGAGCTGATGTACTGGCGCAAGTGACCTTCCAGACCTCGATTTCCTATGATGTGATGATATGGTCTCATGGTTATATGCGCGCGGAGCACTACCACAATGAGACTGTAGCGGAGGCTAGAGCGAGGATGAGAGGGTGAGCTGGAGAAAGATGTGGACTTAGTATGGAAGAGGAGAGTGAGGCAGTCGGAAGAGTCAGAAAGCGCGTAAAAGAACCACTCTTGAACCACGTAAAGAAGTTGGGGAACAAGTTAAGGGAGATCTAGTCGTGCCAAGACGAGGGCAAGTTGCGTAGGGCTGAACTCGTGACGAGAGAGTTAGAGAATCTGTTTAGGGAGGAAAGAGAGATTATCCAGGCGTGGAGATTAGATTTTTTGGAGAGGATAAAGGCTAGAAGCGTATCACGCGAAGAAACTAGTGAGCGATCTGCAGAGAGCGAGGCAACGGAAGACAAAGTAACGCAGGGAAGTAGCGACAGGACATGAGCGGGACAGCAGTACACACGACGAATCGGTACTCGTTGCATGTGGTAGAGAGATTGGACGGACCATTGGTGTTAGTGATCGTAGAACTCCGACTCCATACCAGACTGTGCATAGTTGAGGAGGCAGAGTGTGTCCGCCGTGCCCTGCGTGAGGCAAGGGGGACAGGACTTTGGATTGGAATAGAAG